ATGATGAACGGATGAGCCCGGGGCTCGGATGAAAGTCTAAACGTCGAAAACTGCTGCAATGCGAGTACCTACCTATGGTGGGCGTAATGTTTTTTAACGTCTCGAGTTTGTTTCGATATATACCTAGCTGCAATGCATGTGTGTGCGCATAATAATATATATATAGTATTTTATATAGGCGTATTATAGCAGATGGACATTTCAAAAATGTAATATTAGAAATCGCCACGTCGTTAATAATATGGGTTTTTAATCGTTCTTACGGCGGACGTTTATGTATCATCATTGTTCATTGCATACAAGCAGGTAGGTACCTATATATTCTTTAGAACGTACCTATATGCGGATATCGGTTTGTAGATTTATTGTGATTTGTTAACCCGAAAGTCCCGATCTATTGCGTTGTGATGCAATTTAACATCTAGCCGACACGGTTCATTAAATTATTTAGACAGAGACAAAAATAAGGCAAGTATAATATACTTTATTACATATTATATGATGTACAGTTTGTTGCAGAAAACGAAAACGTATTAAATGATTTAAGAAATATAGCTCATCTCCATACTTATCGATGTATCTAATAAATTAATAAATTAAATGTTTGCATGTTTAACCTAACCCAAAAACATTAAATACAAATATAATTTCGTCGAATTTAGTATGTTGATTGGTTTGTGAAAGCTGTATGATTTATGGTAAAAAAAAAATCATCAAATCTCTCTATATAGTCTTTGCATATAATATGTTACCTTTATAAGCTCATAGACACCGAGAATTACATCACATCAGTAATAATTATTATTCTAATACCATACCGTAATAATCTATATGTGTATTGAGTGTGTATAATTCGACGTACAAGTATTTATTTTATATTTCAAAATACATTAATAATGTGAGAGTGACCATTTATCATTGTGCACGTACTCGACATACTACCAGTTATATGAACGAAAATTAAAATATAACGAATGTGATACCAATTTCGAGTGGGCTACGAGAACCTAGGGTGTATCTGTGCGGGGTGTATCAGCTGTGAATTATATAATATTATATGCACACTTGAAACTCATGATAAACCATTGCAAATTCTAAAAGTGACGAAACGAAAATGATTGATATTTACTCGGCCACGGGCTTTTACTTATCAGTTAACATTTTTCGTAGTGTTATTTGTAATATTAGGCATAGGAAAATGGTGTTCTGGCACAAATCTGGAAAATAACTTGGTGAAACTTGTTGATCCTTATCCTTAAAAGTTCAATAAAAAGTAAAAACACATAACTATGACCAATTTGTAAAATACTTGATACGTTTTAAAGTGTATTTAAGAGACATTGAAAATCTAAAAACATACATATTTTTGGAATAAAAAATCTCATTCAAAAAATGGTTCTTTGTTGTACGAAAAAGTAGACGTCGCAAATTAAAAACTACTCTTCGAAATTCTGGTAAAAAAGCAGAGAATGAGCGTATAATTTATGTTTCATTCTTAGAATTTAGAAAACATAACATCCCGGAAATAAGTATAATTTATTCATTAAAGTATTAAACTCATTATAGGTATAATATTGGTACCCGGGCAATTTTTCAAACAGGTTAAGCGCAAGACATTCAAAATGCTGGACGTTGAATAACCGAGATTTTGTTTTCCGATTACTTCTCGTTTATTATCGTGATATATGAATATGTTTCTGAAAAAAACTACCGAGTGCCTATAATATTCCTAATGTCCGATCCTTAAACTTATATAATATAATATAAATGGGTAAGTATGCCCAAAGTAAAGTAAAATACGGATCACTGACTGTCAGAAATCATATTCCGCATTCTTCACGAAAAGACATTTTAGGCTCAGTCTACCTTTGCTGTATCGATATTGATAATTTCACAACTCTATCATATAACACAACAATAATACTATTAAGATCGGGATGCAACCTAAAACGATATTATATTTTATATCTCGCGACAGAACAATGGACAGGTGTCCGGGAGATCTCAAGATCAACACGTTTGATTTTTTTTGTTTTGTTTTTGGATTCTCGTTCACGTGCTAAAGAATCTTTGGATATTATATACTATATATACGTGTATAATTATTATACCAGATATACCTACATATTCGAACACAAGGTTTTTCATGGCATTTTTTTTTTTTTTGCGTTTCGCGTACCTCCACGAAATTCGCCTGCCGCCCGACAACCGGTTTTGCGCTGACTATATTATATTCTTTTATTCGATTTTTCTCTTTCTTTCGATAATATATATTATTTTTATGTAAGCGGATCTGGGCGATACCTGCCTGCCCATAAACGATCAAACGCGGTGCACGCGAGTTTAAGAAACATTATATACAACGGCAAGAACAGAAGTCAAATCGCGCGGTAAAGCAAAACCGATATCGCATGTGCACAATATTCTAACCCTTTCAAACCTTGGGGTATTAAATTGCTACTTTGATTACGAAACTCGTGGAAAAATCGTTAGAAAACGTAAAGCTATATTATGCCATATTATATTGCTGTTTATACGCGACCATGATGAAACCGCGTGTGTACCATATACTCGGAGATTGCACATGTTTCTATACAGTGGGTGAAGTATTTGTATACCGGATACCAGGTATGCTAATAGAGTCATTATTATTTCATCCCGATTATTGGTATATTTAGTACTTATTTTTTTATCAATTACACTATTGATGGTACACACCTATTTTGGTAGCAACGATAAATTTAAATCGATATAATAAATATGCAAAAATGATAAATTTTAAATTATTTTTCGCTCATTGTGGTATATTCGTCTATTTCTGTATATCGTAATTCATTCAATTATTATATCCTTATCGAATTTCGAATACAATCGAATGATTTTTTGGGACAACAAGATATTATCACGATAAAAACATGTTTTAGAAAGACATTATACAATTCACTTTTGAATAGTGTGAGAAATTTATTTTACCGAAAATAATTTAATACTTATATAATTGTATAATAACTGATACCTAACTCTTCTGTATTATATAGGAACCTATAAAAATAAAAATAAATGTTTAAATAATAACAATAATAGATTATTCATTTTCTGTAAAAGTTCCAGCCTTCAGGAGAGTGAATTTAAAAAAAAAAAACAGAACAAAATACAAACACACAGTGTGAAATAATAACAAATATCAGACACTCAGACATATAGATGAGCTGTTACATCTACATTACCGTATTTTTCAACCAGTTTAAAGTAACCAATTATAAAATACAAAATATTTTCTCAATTTTTGACTGTCATTTTTTTTGTGTCATATCACGATTTACAAAATATATAAATAAGACGCTATATAATCAGTAGCAGGTTATAGTAATTATACATAAAACACGATTTTATCACTGTAAAAGCCACTATTAATAAATTGGTCACATGTTTCTTTATTTATATAAAAAGGCATTTTATTCAGGGCCGCCGCCCAGCACCCGAAAAAGAAAAATTGAGAGCCAAGATTATAGATTACAAATTCCGAATTTGTGGTAACAAATTATGAAGAATTACTAATTAGTTACTAATTTGTAGTACCTACCTAGATTTTGACTTCGAAATTTTTATTTCAGCGTACCATGCTGACCGACTTATTTTATTTTATTACAATATTGAATATTATACGTATATTTAAAACGCTTGAACAAATTTAAATTTATCGATTTGGTTTCAACAATATACTAGTAATCAATTAATAGTACCTATATTATAAGTACCTATATAATGTTTATGTATTGTATAATTATTGATTCAAATTTCACAAAAAAAACTTAATATAACATATAAAAATGTGTAACTAATACCTTCTAACCATGGTAAAATAATTTAGTATTAGTAAACACTAAATATCTGGTTTGTGCCAGTGTGGCAGTATGGTAGTATATTGTTAAAATCTCGATTGACCTTTAATAAAGATTAAAATAAATTATATTCATTATGTATTTTAACAGTACATATTTTCAACGATTAAAACGATTCTGGACGACCTTCCAAGGACGTTATTGGAGTGCGATAATGTAATCTATATTACGAACTATTCAGTTACATCATTCTATGTAAATTTGGATTGTGATCTCCGCTAAACAGGCCATAGTCAGAACAAGTCTCACTATATAAGTATTATACATACAATATACACGTATAAAATCTACTATTTTTAGAATGAATGAATGAATAGTATTTTACGATAGTAATAATTCATGTATAAGGGACCCAATCTCGGTTTGTCTAAATGTCGATGACATTTGTTATCTAAAAGTGTTTTAATTATTCTTTCAGTAATTCTCTTAATTAGTCAAAGTTAAAAATCATGATATGATATTATTATAATATACATATTACCTATAAGTATTTATTAATTAATTTTAGTGGTATTATAATTTTAAAGTAGGTATAGCAATTATTACTACATAACATACTCGTATACCTATGGACTTTGCAAAATACAATTTTAAAATTACTCTAGAAATTTGAGGAATTTCCTCATATATCCTTCGCCGACACAATAATGTTGCAGGCAACAGACTCGTGTATATATAATATAATATAAGACAATTTAATAATATAATACAATGACAACGAAGAATATTTTTACTATACATAACACAAAACAACCGAGAGAGTTGTTGAAAACGTATAAAATATAAATGGATTTTTTTTTTTTGTCCATTTTTTTTTTCTTTCCATTCTCATTTTCCCCCATCAGTACGTGACTCGGTTGCGAGTTTTCTAATAGTGAATTGTTTCATATTTTTGTACACTGATTTATTAATATGTCGTATCGACGGCCGCATGTGCATGATGTGTGCTGCTGCTGCAGTGTATAATATGCATTTCTACATCTATACGTGTACATATAGATATAGCTACTGAAATTGTGTGTGTGTGTGTGTGTGTGTGTGTGTGTGTCGTGTGAATTATCTACAGAAATCCCAATGGCACCACCCCGTCGCACTCACCTGCCAGTAGAAATGTCAGCAACATTGTGATCTCATTGGGCTTGGTGTCGTCGTCCGGATGTCCCTGGAACAATAAATTATTATCCGATTATTATAAATGGTCATACGCACAATATATAATATTATTTCGTTGCGTCATTGTGAATTGATATATAATAATAATATATAACGGAATGTAGGTATATCTATATAATATACGCGTGTGACGGGATTGAGTTGTCAATGCGTGTCGGTTACGTCCGTAACGCACAACAATAAAAAGCTATAAATTATCTTTATTTAATATTTCGCTTTTGATTGATCTGTTTGAAATTGTTTGCAGAAATTTTTCCTCTCTCTCTCGCGAGCGCGTGCATCACGGCCCTTTTATCTGTTTTCTATGATACTCACTTTGTTCTCCTCTTCGTTCTTCGTTTACTTACGAACCGAAGAGAATCGGAAAATAACAGTGAAAATAACGTGGTTGACAACTTCGGGGAAATTTATTAAATTGTACACATATAATTTTATCACGTTTTCCGGGCAAGTAATTTTATTAAGAAAAATCATTACCGACTCAGACATTCGCGAAGAAACACAACAATACCATATATTATAACCGGCTAAAGTATAGTACAAATTTAATTTTACCAACTACCTATTACCTATAGTAAAAGTATAAACAATATAAAAGCAAACTTAAGTTTTCTCGAAAAATATTACTTTTTAGGAATTATTTTATTTAAATCTTTACAAAAAAGCATTCTGAGTGGAACGATGAATGTATTGATTTTACAATGATGTGTGTTTTTTTGTGTCTGTCATCACGGTTTGGGGGCAGTAAAACTGCTTCGATTTTCTTCAACAGTATCTTGTTTGATGGGAAAGTGAATCTAGTTGGTGTATTTGGGAGGCCAAATTTTAAAATTCTCAATAGTTTTCAAAAGCGCCGGGAAAAACAACATAAAAATTAAGGAAAAACGTTAATTCTTATGCAAGATCAGCTTTTGACAAAATCGATTTTGGTTTTTGGTGTAAAAACAAAATTAACGTATATACATGACATTTTAACTGGTTGTTTATATTTGCATTTTCTATACACGATAAGTTTTTCAAAATATTTTGATTTATTTTGAACTGTTTAGGAACATTCTCTGTTTCCAATTTTATTAGTCTTTTTTCTATGAATGTCAATAAAACGTTATTTGTTGGGGGTAAAAAAGCTTAACCATTTTATACAAGGCTCCTTCCATATTGTTACAATGGCATTTGAAAAATATTAAAAATCCTTAATCACAGTTTTTATTTATAAGCATTTAAAGTTCAAATCTTGACAAAATACGGAAAAATCAAGAAAATTAGCAAATTATTTTGAGTTGAGAATTCATAAAAATTTACTTTTTAAATCTAAGATTTGAAAATGTAATGCGTAATTTCTCAAGAGTTTGTTTAAATTTATCAAAAAAAAATGTCCACAAGCAAATCAAATAAAATTTTTATGAGCGTTTGAAATTCATATTTTTACAATATTGAATATTCACTCGATTTCTCATGCAGCGGTTTTCTTATTTCATTGTTATTTAAAAAGGAATAACTGTAGATACATGAAAATTTACTGGATGAATATATTTTCGTTTTCTATACACCGTACAATTTTGAAAATATTTTGACTCCTGATATATTGTTACAATAGAAGTTAACAAAAATTAAAAATACATAGGTACAATTTTTTTTATAGATATTTAAAGTTCGTATTTTGACAAAATTTAATAATTATTTTGTAGTTAAAAATTTATAAAATGTTCAACTTTTATAGCTAAGGATTAAAAATGTAAAACAATGTTCCACGTAAATAGGTAAATATATAAATTACTTTATTCACAATAATATCATCAAATATACTTTGTAATATTATAGGCTGACTGACCGTTTTCGCTCAGAATCGTTTTTCTTATACAATGATATGACATCATTGAGTTCAAATTTAACAAAATCCATGACAGTGACCCACTTGTAACCTACTGTATGGCAGAGTGACATCCACTTACCCACTTTTTATCTTTAATATTTCTTAAATTTTTACTTTTTTGAATGACACCATACATTTTTAATTTTATATTCAAATGTAGCTAGAATATCATTGTAAGTACTACTATCTACCTCTGTGCCACTCCATTACTATTGGTTCATCAAAACTATAAATACCTATACCTACTCGTTCAATATATACTATTTTGATTTATACTTAAATTCTGCTTCAGAATATAATAAAATTCAAAATATACAAAATAGCAAAATAAATTGTTTTTTTTTTTTCAAAAACGCAGCTGTTTTGTTATAATCTATCACTTCCAAGTTCAAAGAATGTAAAAAGTATTTCCTAAACGTTAAATAATATTGAGATAATGAATGTAGGTATCAATTAAAGAACTCTCCTGTACATAATTGACTGTACAGTTCTATCAAAAAAAAAAAAATAATAAAAAAATTCAGGGTATTAAATTTAACAATAATTGGAGAGTGAGTATGAAACGTCGAAATAATAATATATAGTATAGGTAGTGAGAGTCATCAGAGATGGAACTTTAGAAGAACCTAATACGGCCCATGAAAAATAAAGAGAAGCGAACACCCTATAAAGAATTTTTGTGATTTATGAATATCGTTTCGTTTCTTATAATATCACGATAGGCGATAACATTTTTATTATATACAACATTACGGTGCGGCTCTCGTGACACTCGGTGAAATACCCGATCGTTTAAGTCTCCACATTACGCGCTAAACGAAAATTACATAATAATCGGTCCATTATAATATCTCGACATCATACCGGAACGACTGTTTATAAGCAGTTGGCAATTATATATAAGTACGCATGTACGGTTATTAAATCTATGAGATTCGATTAACTGCTGCAGATATAGAAGATTGCAAGTAGTATATTATATACAGTTTTCACATGTAACGTTATTACGCGTAGTCCGTATCATCGTGCTTATTATATTATTATATTATATACAATAATATTATTGTATGGACGAATTATATTATATATTATTATTTTTACTATTGTCATTGTTGTTGTTGTTGAACCCGACGCCCGAGTTGAGAAATCTAAATCGTCAACGTTTGTCCGTCGTGCCCGCAGCCTAGGCCAAATGTTTAAGTCTTCAATTGTGTTAAAATGTAGACACATTTCATACGGATCTAATTAACAAGCATCGTCGCAACTATATGACTATCTATAGATATATAATATACAAGTATACTGCTCATTTGAACATTCTGAACACCAAGCAAAATATTTTGCCCCTCCCCCAAAAAAAAAAAACAATAATTATTTCCTAAATTTGAAGGTATACTATTATTTTGTGGCATAAATGCAGTTGAGCTTCTAAACGATTTTGAAAAAAAATATTGGAAACCTATATGTATTTCAATGACTTAAGAACAATGTTGCAATCAGAATTTGTCGATCAGACATCTTTTCAAAGTTATAACCTTTTGAAGATTATGAGGTTTGTTTTTAGTATAACTTCTAACAAAAATGTGACCTACTTTTTTTGAAAGTTCCATCGTATTAACCATTATGCAAAACATATTTTGAAAAAAGAATTCACAAAAATCGCTATACACTCCATCCCTTCCGTATTTTCATCTAATAGTTATGCCTATCTCTTGTGTCTTTAATAAAACTAATGTTAAATAACAAATCGTATCTAGTTTTCCTAAAAAAATATAAGCAAAACAATAGTTAACACAAAGTTTCCTTTATAACCGTTTAATGTTTTTTTCTTAGTATACTACTGCTATAATGTTATAATATACTGCGTTATAGTTCTGTTATAATATCGACTGGCCGCCGCCTGCAGGAACGCGAAGTGTCTCAAATCGTTAGGTTACCGAATACAAAGTTACATGATTATATACGTAGGTACGTGTTATATACATGACTTAACATCGCTATATACCTTATTATGCTGTACAGAAATGCGTCTGCAGATTTTCACTGTACGATGTACTGCAAATTTACGCGACGTCGCGTCCTTGACGATCATTGAACGTCGCCACCGCCCGCCACTGCATGAGCCTGTGACCCTCAGTTAGGTGAAATTAAATACATCGATACGCCATGATAATTATTTACGTTTAAATGTATAATACGACTATACGATCGTGCCGAAGCAGAAAATTATGTTTTATTTCGGCCGCGATCTACCCGCGGTGACGAATATATAATATTATTATTTACAGTGTAGATGATCGTGTCACTCTCGCCGGAGAGTATCTATCATCGTTGGCGTACCATATTATAGTATTATCACCCTCAATCGCCCCCCCCCCCAATCCGTGGTAAAATTATTCGCGGGTATAGCCCGATTTCGAACTTGACCCACATATAGCACGGCCTCGATTTATTGCAACCCCCGGGGCCCGAGCTGAATCCGCTACGGATTTTAAAATATTTCGTCGACACAGCATTATATATGTACGCGTACATATTATATATTATTATACATTATATATTGTGGATATTATGTATATATATTTATGTATATGGTATTACACACGCCTCAGACGGCCGGATCGGTCGTGACCCATTCGGTGTACCGAACCCGGCAGAAGAAAGTTTTCGCTACGAATCGTCACGTTGATGATTTACGGACAGGTTTTCGCGGAGAATCCTAATTATATGTATCGACCTGTCATGACTCGGACGCGGGCACAACGTGCACCGATCACCGCCGAGTCCGCGGCCCGGCAGACGACTCTAAGCCCTTATTATAAAATATATATATTGTAATGTCATAATAATTATTATCCATCGTCTGCAGCGCGGTAAAAGGTGAGCGCGCGTAACGTGCCGAACACGCAGGTGGCCAAGATTGCAGTTGTTAATATTATATAGGTATTTATACGATACGATCACTTTGTGCGAGAAAAAGAACGACGACGACGACCCGGTATAATATTATTATACCATAGCTGGTACCCAAACCGCTGAGCGTGCATTGTCCAGACGGCTGTGTACGCCAATACAAT